TTATTTATTTATTTATTTTTACATTACAAGTTACATTATAAGAGAATGAATCTTTTTGGTTTGACGTCAAAACCAAAGCGCACGGTCCCCTGTCGTATCGTTATGCCGCTCCCCCTTTGTCACTCCACGCAATTCTAACTTCTCCGAATTGCATTTTCCAAAAAAATAAAAAAAAACAAAAAAAGACACTCAAAGTTAAAGTTTTAATATTTGATTTTTTCTATATTCGATAGTGTTCGGGTCAGCTTACGCGCATCTCGACTAATCTTATGAGACAACAACTTTTGATGCCACAAAACACTAAAAATTACTAATTTCTAAAGTAGGTGGCCATTATGAGGTTTGAACTAATTTCCTCCTAATTAACTCTAATCTCTTTGGACAAATGAACTATCCATAATTTCCACTTCAGTTGATTTTAGTTTTTATATCTTTAAAAGTTGTCTATATATTTTTATTTTTATTTTTTACATTAAAAAAGTGATTATTTTAGTTTTTTTCATTTTTTTTATCTCGTTTATTTTGATTAATTTTCATTAAATTGTAAATTTGTATTTAAGAGTTTTCGTTGCTTATAAAATTTGAAATTTTATCAATAAGACTAAGATCTTCATTTTTTCAAAGGATTGGAATAAAAATGACTTCTGCTTCATACATTTAAATGACAAAAAAAGCCATCTAAACTAACTTAACTAAAACTGTTATAGCATACTAATTTAACTCGGTTGATAAATCTAAAAAATATTGATTAATGGAATGCCTTAATTGTTGTTAGGAAAGTACGCTAAACATTTTAAAATAGATCAGAAATGACTAAAGTTACATTGATTAAAATAATATTTAAATCATAATATGATTCAATTAATTAAATTGTGTCTTCTGTCGTATCTTTATGGTTTGAACATTTTAGAGAAAAGTGTGATTTTTACCCATGTGAGTTAGTCGGTTAATCTTAAGCTAATCCATTTAAACCCTATGTTTATGCAAAAAATATAACGGGATATGACCTGGACAAGGTCAGCCACAAGGAGAGCTCGACCTACTCCAGGTATGACCGTCGGGAGAGCATGACCTGCTTTTCAGGTATGATCGTAGGAAGGGCTTGGGTTTCCTTGAAAACGGATGACCAGCTCAAAGGGTCAAGGTCGGCTGACTGGGATAAGCTGGTGTCAGGAATGAGCTGAAAGGCCACTTGGCGAGGAAATACCTGCACAAGGGAACAAACACTCCGACGCTCAAGTTAGTTTTGAGTCCGACCTTAGTATGGAGGCCGAGCTAGAATATGATACCTGACTGAAGAGTGAAGTGCCCTATTTATAGGCTGAGGTACCCAACAAAGAATCCGACCGGCGGTTGAGCATGTCGGGATCAAGGTCGGCCTGTCAGGGGTAGCTATTCCAGTACATACTCTTGTTATCTGGAATTTGACTAAGTATGGAAGGTCGTTCCTACTTGAATGATCTTCAGGGAAGACCTTCAAATCGGCCTTTAGGGAAGGTCTCAGGTCGGCCATTAGGCAAGACCTTCAGGTCAGCCCTTAAGGGAGCTCTTCAGGTCGACCATCACGCAAGACCTTCAGGTCGGCCCTTAGGGGAGCTCTTCAGGTCGGCCCTCAGTGGAGCTCTTCAAGTCGGCCACTTCAGGTCGACCACCAAAAGAAAGATCTTCAGGTCGGCCACTTCAGGTCGCCCAACAAAGGGAAGACCTCCAAAATTGGACATTTTTCTGTCCTCCACGTGACAATACGATTTTCAACCCACAAACACCCTACATTCGAATAATTGCTGTGAAATTAATTACAATTAGTTAGGATTTCAAATTCTTATGAAGATTTATTACTAGCTTGGTCTAGGTCATTACGATTAAAGATCACTTTTTTATTATCAATTAGTTTTGAGATGAAACTACATAAATATTAATATGGTAAAGTTCGAACGAAAATCCAATCCAAAAAATAAGATTTGGCCAAGATTGATGAACCAAAAGAAATACGATTTTGAAAGAGCATATTAAGAATTTACATATTTTACTTTTCTTATTGTCAATTAGTTTTGAGATGAAATTTTATAAATATTAATAATTACTTGTAGTTTATTGTTTGATGAGGTTATTCTTTTTTTTGTTTTTTTTTTGCATGTATTAATTCTTCCCATTGTGTTGGATGCTTTCGGTTTTTTCTTGGCATTTTATTGCTAAATTTGATTTTTGTTTTTTTTTGTCTTCTTAATATTGTAGCTAGGTTCTAATATTATCATGATTAGTGTTTTTGGACAGTTAAATAAATAAGAAAAATGGAACAATTGGAAGACTTTTTTTCAAGCAAAAAATAAAAAAATAAAGTTTTACTTGTTCAAATAATAGGAGCTTTGTTGCCATGAGGATAATAGAGTCATCAATTCAATCTAATGGATAAGCTTTTGTTCCATCGTATTACATCACTCAATTTTCAAAAAACACCAAAAAATCTGTTTTTTTTTTTTTGACCCAATCGTTAATTATCCAATTTGAAATTAAACCTTTGAATTTTTCTTGATTTTGTGCCATTATATCTTGAACCACGTCTAATATTGTTGAACACGTTCCACTTGTTTGGAATCACGTTTTAAAATTCCTTTTTTTATTTTTTATT